AAAAAAAAAAAAAAAAAAAAAAAAAAAAAAAAAAAAAAAAAAAAAAAAAAAAAAAAAAAAAAAAAAAAACATAATTATCATATAAATTGAGAATATATGTGCTTTCAGATATAACAAGCAAATAAAATGACGTGCATACTTATATTATTAGAAATAGTATTTTGTAAAATTTAGAGAACTGATATTTCCTATGTACAGTTATATAAAAATATTTTATATAATAATTTTACAAGAAAAAGGGTAACTGGAGTCCCTAAAAAACAAACATTGCCACTACATATAATGGTTTTATAAATATCATTGAAAGGGCCATCTCACATGTAATATCCTTTTCACGGCATCTTTCACATCTCTGTTTCTCAGACTGTATATCATAGGGTTTAACATTGGTATTATGAGCGTATAAAACACAGCTACAATCTTGTTTTGCTCTGGTGAGGAGATGGCCCCAGGTTGGGCATACATGAAGAACACGGTTCCATAAAATAAACTCACTACCACCATGTGGGAGCCACAGGTGGAGAAGGTCTTACTCCTGCCGTGGGTTGAGGGGATCTTCAGGACAGTGGAGAGAATACAAGCATAGGAAACCAGAATGACCGTTGTGGTGGTTATGATGATGACAGCAGACAAGGTAAACAGCACAATCTCATTCACAAAAGTGTCAACACATGAGATCTTGATCAGAGACGGGACATCACAGAAAAAATGGTCCAGTCTGTTTTCTTGGCAGAAATGTAAACTGAAGGTGAAACTTGTTTGCACTACAGAGTTGATGCATCCGCAGATATAGGATCCCATTACCAGTTGAACACAGACTTTCTGGGACATGTGCACAGGGTAAAGGAGAGGGAAGCAAATGGCTGAGAAGCGATCAAATGCCATTACAGCCAGAAGAAAGCCTTCAGTTGTGACAAACAGGGCAAAGAAGAAAAATTGGGCTGCACAACCATTGTAGGAAATTTTCTTTTCATTAGTCAAGAAGTTGCTTAAAGTTTTGGGAGCAATGACTGTGGAATAGCAGAGATCTAAATAGGACAAATTTCTTAGGAAGAAATACATAGGTGTTTGAAGTCTGGAATCCAACTTAATGACAATTATCATGCTGGTATTTCCCATCACAATGACCACGTAGATCATTAAGAATACTGAAAATAAGAAGATCTGTAGCTTTGGAGGTGTTCTAAATCCCAGCAAAATAAATTCAGTGACCTCTGAGTAATTCCAATTAAGCTCAGTCTTCATAGCTGAGACATACATAGGTGGACCGACTAGAGAGATGGAGAAAATTAAGAGGAATGAACAATTTAAATACTGGTTTCAGTGAAAAATAATTGATGAACCAGCATGGAAGAAAATTTGTTTTAACATATTGTTACGAATGTTTTACAAAAAACATCGAACATAAATAACAGATTACTCTTTTTAAAACTATCTTTCTAATGAAAAGTTTAATACATTGGTAAGTGTTTCAGATTTACCTATTTGTGAATAGTGCACGTTCACCCTCTAAACGTGCCTTGGGGAAATGGAGATTCCAGGAGGATGTCTGGAAACAAAAGAGGCTTTAAAAAAATTCTATAGAAAATAATATGTAACATTGTATCTGTCTTTCTTACATTAGAAGAAAGTCTTCAGACTGTGACAAAAACTCCATTCTTTTACATACTAACCTCATATCACTATTTCTTGCATTATTTTTGATCTTGAAGTGACATAAATTCTTAGTGGCATCATAAATTTATTAAAAACAGTTATAGTTTCTGCTTATATTTCCTAGCCACAATGAAATCAGAGTTTATTTCCTTCCTTCCTTCCTCCCACCCTCCCACCCTCCCTCCCTTCCTTCCTTCTATCATACCTTCTTTTCCCAGTCCTTCCTTCCTTTCACCATTCTTCCTTCCTTCTTTCATGTTTTTTCTTACCTCTGTATTTTTAACATGGAAATGCAAGTGAAGAATTTAAGATCTTGAGCAGAGATATTTCTTTCATTTTGGAAAGAAACTAATTACAAATGCAAAGATCTGTGCAAATAAAAGGCAGAAAGTGCAGAGGATAATTTAAAGATAGTGACAAATAAAAAAAGTGAGTTATATATATTTAGGCTTATGTTTTTACTGACCATTAAATGTTCTTCAATAAAATACAGTGGAAAGAGAAAAAAGAAATCTCCATATTCATTTTATGAATAAGAAAACTAGGTCAGAGTAAATAAATAGATTTAAAGACTTAAAGTCATGACACTGAATAGCACACCAAACCCAACAGTTTGAGAATGCTGTGAGCTGTGACACTATAGCACTCTACTGAGGGTGACATAGTAAGACTCTGTCTTAAAAAAAACAAACAAAAAAATCTGTCATTGTCTTTTTGCCACAGTAAGGAAGGCTGTGACTATCTATGGAGAATGTATCTTGCTCTGTAAACCTCTTTTTCTTCCTCAGTAAAATTTGTTTCATGGTTTAAAAAAAATCTACAGTGAAGTAGAAATTGGCAAACAAATTGAACCACTTACTGCTATAGAAATGTCTTTTGTAATAGTATGACTATATAACTTAATAATTATAAGTAGTTGTTCATATTTAAATTATAAAACTAAAAATTAAAAATAATAAATTATAGGCTATAATTATAAATGTCTCAATGTCTCTTTTTTTATTATTGCCATTGATGTAGTTTCATTAATTTTGATAATCTTGTAAAAGAGATTGCATCTATGGAAATATATCAGAGTGAATTTGGTCTTCATACAATATTCTTACTTTCTGAACAATATTCAAAGTTAACAGAAATGTTGACTGAGTATAGAAGGCAGAGGAATGGTCAAAATAATCCATGGAATGGTCTATTAACTACAATAGTATTAACTAGCAATAGTATTTTGCTAATTTATGAATTTAACATGAAAACAGAAATTTTAGGAAAAAAAAAGAAAGATACATAACTAAAGGTATTTAAAGGAAAGGGATATTGAACATAAACAAATTAAATATGAACAAAAACAAAATATGAACATAAACAAAATAAATATTTTGCTAATTTATGAATTTAACATGAAAACAGAAATTTTAGGAAAAAAAAAGAAAGATACATAACTAAAGGTATTTAAAGGAAAGGGATATTGAACATAAACAAATTAAATATGAAGACTAAATATACTTCTGATCTTAGTAAACACTAGACTGTACATGAAATTAAGTATATTCAAGATATAAAAATAAGAAAAGAAAGAAGCAAACCTTTGTTTAACAGGAAATTTTTCTGCAACACAGACTGCATTTCCTCACTCTTCAAATCATGACTTAAATTTGCTAAGATGAACAAACACCAGTAAAAATTGCAGCCTATCTCTTATTAATATCTTTTAGTTTGGTGGATTTTTTTATTTGATTAAACTAACAAATAGACTTGGAGTGGATTTTAAGAGAAATTCTCTCATCGGGAGGGTAACCAGAGTTGTGAGCAATCCCTCTGCAAGATTTTCACCAGAGACTGAAGGTCTCTCTCCCCAATAACATATTTTGTGCCATTAGGCAAAGGACAAAGTGAGAATATAAATTATTCATTAGTAAACTTATTACAACTTTAGAAGCTTATAATGGCTCTCTAGAGGATGTGAGAAATAACTGTCCACTTCCATAACAAGTACAGTTGGGCAAGTACTTGAACCTTCTCTTATTTTCATGATTTATGCAGAGGGATACTCATTATTTTTCATTTGAATGGATTACAAGCCTTACCTCTTTTATGTTTACATGGAGGGACCTGGAACATATTCTCCTGAGTAAAGTATCTCAAGAATGGAGGAAAAAGTATCTAATGTACTCAGTGCTTCTATGAAACCAAGTTACATTCACTCACACTTTCTTATGAAAAATTGATCACAACTACAGCCCAGGATGAAAGAGAGAAATGGAGTGGGAAGGGAGGGGATAGGGAAGGTTGGATAGAGGGAGGGTAAAAGGTGGGACCACACGTATAGAGCCTATTGCAAGGGTATAAGTCAAATCTGTCAAGTGTAGAACATAAATGTCTTAACACAATAATCAAGTAAATGAAGCAAAAGCTATGTTGATTGGTTTGATGTAAGGATGTCAGATTGTACCAAAAAATCAATACATTGTATCCCACCCCCCCCACCAAAAAAAAAATAAAGTAACTGTTTAAATTAACAGTTAACTGCTGTTTTTTCAAGAATTTATCAATGACTTTTCGTGAGGACTTCATGTAAAAATGCAACCTATATTTTAAAAAATATATGGAGATATTTATGCCTGTCCTATCTTTAGACTAGCACTTTCATTATTTGCTGTATTGATTTTGCCAGTAAGAACTGTCAGAAAACATCAGAAATGAAAATCAGAACATCCGTGACTGATTTCATCCTCCTGGGTCTGACAGATAATCCATAATTACAGCTTGTGATTTTCTCCTTTATACTTCTCACATATGTACTGAGTGTTCCTGGAAATCTATCATCACTCTTACCCTGCTGGACCCTCACCTGAAGATCCCCATGTATTTCTTCCTCAGAAACTTCTCCTTCTTAGAAATTTCATTTACTTCTGTCTGTAATCCTAGGTTTTTGATCACCATTCTAACTGGGGACAAGTCCATATCCTATAATGCCTGTGCAGCTCAGCTGTTTTTCTTTATCTTCCTCGGGTCAACAGAGTTTTTCCTCCTGGCCTCTATGTCCTATGATCGCTATGTGGCTATCTGCAAGCCTCTGCATTACACGACCATCATGAGTAACAAGATCTGCCACCAGCTTATAATCAGCTCTTGGCTGGCTGGTTTCTTGGTAATTTTCCCACCTCTGGCCATGGGCTTAGAGCTGGATTTCTGTGACTCCAATGTCATTGACCACTTCACCTGTGACTCTGCTCCTTTGTTGCAAATCTCTTGCACAGACACCAGTACTCTAGAGCTCATGAGCTTTATTTTAGCTTTGTTTACTCTCATGTCCACTTTAACGTTAGTCATTCTCTCCTACACTTACATCCTGAGAACAATTCTGAGATTCCCCTCAGCTCAGCAAAGAAAAAAGGCCTTCTCCACTTGTTCCTCACATATGATTGTTGTCTCTATCTCCTACGGGAGCTGCATCTTTATGTGTGTGAAGACATCAGCAAAGGAAGGAGTTGCTTTGACAAAAGGTGTGGCTGTGCTCAATACCTGTGTTGCTCTTCTGCTAAATCCATTTATTTACACTCTGAGGAATCAGCAGATGAAGCAAGCACTTAAGGATGCTGTGAGAAAAATATTTTCCTCAAAAAAACTGATCTGAATCCAATTTATAACTGAAACATGTTCTTTTACCAGAGTATTAATAAATATTTCACTTTTCAGTTCTGCTCCATCTTTTACTCTTCTCAACAATACAACTACACACTATTTTTTTTCTTTTTTTAATCAATAAATGTAAAATGAATGGGGAAAATGATAACTTATCATTGGCATACCACAACTATAATTGCTTTCATGAGATACACTGATAGATGCTAAAGTGAGTGAAGTTTAAACTGATAATAGCATATTTGCAGTCTCAAAGACTCTTCTCCCAAACAGCTAGTGACTAAATAGTACTCAGTGGAGGATCCTTGAGGACGCCTTCTTAGCCAGGAGCACAGAAGGACTTCTTGTACCCTCTTCCTCTGATATGATGCCCAGAGAACAGCATCACCTCAGTGCTATCCTTCCAGGAACTAATAATCTTAACCTGACCATGACAAAACATCAAATGAAAATTGAGAGTCATTCTACAATACCAAATAAGTGCTTATTTTATACTTTTTTTTATTAAAGCATAGCTGTGTACATTAATGCAGACATAGGGTACAGTGGGATGGTACTATATACAATCTGAAATATTTTCATCAAACGGGTTAACATAGCAACTTTTCTGTTCCTTTGCAAAAATTAGTGTCTAATTTTGAGTGCATAGATTATTATATTATGTTATTTTACCACAGATAGAGTACTTCTAACAAACATCATCTGAATTTCTCAATTCAAACATAAATTCTGAAAATCATTATTATTAATTCTATAGAAGTGATCATCTCTAAGGAGTTGCATGGTACATAGAACACACCTTTGAGGTACATAGAATGCATCTGTTGTCATATAATATTGATTTAAAGAGTGATATATTAATGACTTTGTCACTATACCTAATCTTTGATGATATTAATTCTATAGTGAATATATTCAGTATTATTTTCATATAATATATGCATATA